CTAATGATAATGTATCGATAGAATATTATTAAATAAGTATAATATATGGAATCCTGAAATCATATTTTAAATTTATGACCTGATCACACATTTTCTTAAAAAAAATAAATAATTGTGATTAAACAAACGTAATTATGATTCAATTCTCGAGTTATGGTCACGTCATGTGGTTAATGATCATTAGGACATAAAATTAAGGCGGTCTGATAATATATTTTTGATGAATCCAAAAGCCTAAGGAAAAATGCGAAAATGTATTCTATTGCTACGGTATAAATTTATCAAAATTAAATAATACTAAGACTAAATTTCGTGCTTAATTCTGAAGAAAGCTAAAGAATAAAAAGAAAGTTGTAATAATTGCTAGCGACAAAAAAAATAATTGACAATAAAGTAAAATAAATTTTACCTATGTATCTAACCCAATAGATTCGTCTAATAAAAGAAATAAAACATAGAAAACAATTACATGAAATAATCAAAGAAAAAACATTTTTATGGATCTAGACAAAGAGAGATATTCAAAATAATCGAAAACGATCGGTGCGTCCCGAAGCAAATTATCCATAACTATAAATATAAAAAATAATGTTATTTATCTGGTACTTGCGTTAAATATCCAATCCAAATAGGATCTAAAGAAAAGGCCCTGAAGTATTCTGAAATCAACTTTACAAAAGGCTATGATAGATCTTGGCGAAAAGGAGTATGCTGCCGGCCTTTGATTTTCCGGGTTTTGCTTTGCTTTCAGAAATACTTTCTTTTCTTTAGACCATTTTCGCTTGAAAGACTCTATAAAAGACGTACACGTTTATTATTTTAGAAAGATCATCATGGGCTATTAATGAACGCTCTAATGGTTCCTGTTACCTAGTGGCTTATTCTTTAAAGTATTACATAGTTCACCTATGATTGTGGACTGACTCGTCTATACTTTATTATGTTGATTTTTCAGTGTTTTTAAAAATCACGTGATAAACGCGTGAAAGACACCTACGTTTTGAATAGATTTTTTGATATATTTAAAATGATATTCAAAATGATCTATAATTTTTATTTTAAAATTAAAAACTCAATGATTATTTTGTCAAGTTTAATTTCATTGGTTGATCGGCAAGGATTCTGATTGGCTAAAATCAATTTTTTATAATCCCAAAAAAATTTAAAAAATAAAGATTACCAGGTTAAATTAAAAAAATAACTCAAATAAAAATTCCTCAAATCAAAATTAAAAAATAATAAGACAAATTTAAATTTTAAATAAAAAAATTTAAACAAATTTTCGCAATTAGCTAGCTATTTTACATTTTAACAAAAATAAAATAAAATAAAAATTATTTTTAATTAAGATCCAGTAAAAATGAAATAATCTGAAAAAATAATTTATTTAGATAAAAAAATAGCATTAAAAAAGATAAAATTTAAAGAAATAAAATTAATAATAAATAATGGGTTATAAAAAATATAATAACAGGGTTGTAATTAAATTAAAATAAATAATATAATATAAACTGAGAAATTATAAAAATGAAGCCGATAATTTCAATTTAAAAACAAATGGGTGGTATGCTATTAAAAATTGAAGTACGAGACATAGTAAATCATATGATCCGTACCTCAAATTTAATAGCACACCACACCACCCAAATTTATATAAAAAAAATTAAATTCGTTAAATTTGGCAATTAAATAAAAATAAAAAAAATTAAATTATAATTTAAAAAATTAAATAAAAAAATTTCGAAACTAATAAATTAAAATTAACAAAATGGTTTTGCATTAATTAAAAAATAAAAAAAAAAATATTTATAAAATTATTAAAATTAATAATAATTTTAATACAGTTTATTGTAAACTGTACAAACCGTACTGTTTATTAAATTAAAGTTTAGATCAGTCAGATTATGGTTAGTGTTAGGGAAAAGATTTATGGTGATTTAATTAGGTTATGGTTATTAGAGTTAGAGAGTTAGGGTTAGAGTTAGATTTAATTACATTAATAGATTATTTTAAAATATTTATATTTTAATTTTTTTTTTAAATTTACATCACGTTGCATTAGCGAGCTCCTGGGGCATCGCCCTGGTAAATTTACTAGTATAAAAAAAATAAAGAAGGAACAAAAGTAGTGAGCTTTTCCTTCCTCAGGTTAATAAACCAACAAAAAAGCTCTTAATTTCCTAAGGGAATAAAAAAAATATTTATCCATTAAGGCAGCTATTTTTTTCGTCAAAATTTTTTTTAAATTCTTTCCATAAATCAGCAAATTTTTCTCTTGTAATTTTCCTAATTCTCAAAAGTGTGAAATTATTTTCTGCTTTTATAATTTGATTTTCTGGTTCAGAAAGATGCTATATAAAAAAAAGATTTTTAAGCAAAGTGACAAAAAGCGAGGGATTTTGTGATCGTCAAATGGAAGATTCTCTTTTATATTTTTGATAGTCATCTCTTTTTCTTCATAACCGTATCTAAATCTTTTGTTATCTGTAACAAAATGGTTTTGTTCATTTATTACTCAGTCTTTTCTTTTTCTTTTTCATAAACTTTTTGATTTTTTCGACAAATATTTTTCCTATATAAAAGTAAACTATGCTATGCTAGTCTCTCTGTCGAGTTTATCTCTGTTTGAAGTTAATTTTTTTACTAATCCAAGTAGTTGCTACAGTTTTTTTCGCCTAATTTTTCAACGTCCATCAGCACAGGAGGCTAATTTTATCCTTGCTAGTACCATTTAAAAGTTTTTCATTTTTCCGTTAATATTTGCATTTTCTGATTTCATCTTTTTCTTTAATTTGCTGTTTCTTTACAATTAAAGCATTGATTATCATTGCTTTTATCCATGCGGTTCCACAAACTTTCCTTTCGCAATTCGAACAATTAATTTTAAAGTTATTTTCTCTACAAATTCGACATTCTTCATAATCAAAATAGATATTTCGTTTGTCAACGAGTACCTGGCTTTGAGTAATCTCAAACTTCTTTTCATTAGAAGGAATTTTTTATTTAAAGCTGATTTTATGTCATTAGATAAGTAAAGTTCGACTTTTGTAGCTTCGTTACTGTCAAGCTTATTATTGTCAGAATAGGATGATGGGGTAGGGGGAAGAGAAGAATATGTTCACTCGTTGCGAAGAGTATCATCTAGTTCCATATTCATGTTTTAATACTTTTTGTTTTTTCAAAACTTTTTTGTGCCTTCTCTGTTAGAAAAATAGTGTTTCTTATATAGCTTTTCCTTAGAATATGTCATCAGGAAATCGGAAAGGTGTGCTACTCGGTTGTTCGTAAATTCTTCCCTTATTGAAAAAAGCATTATTCTTGAAATTAAATTAGTATCATTTTCGTTACTTTATCGGGATTTAGCTCTAAAAATAGACAAATTAGCTAGCTGATTAAAAAAATATTTCACAAAATTTAAAACTTGTAAGAAATTAGCAAGATTTACTAAAAAATCTCCACATCCTTAAAGATTAACATTTATAATAAAACACAAAAAATGAAAAACATAATTCTGTCTTTGTTTGAAAAAAATAAAAAAGTTGTTAGTATTGTTTTGTTGTTATTCCATCGGATTTTAGCGCTACAAATAGACTCATGAGTGATTAGCTAAAAAATAACAACCTTATCAAAGATTAACATTTATAATGGCAATCGTGCTATTTACCTTTATTTAAAAAATAAAAGAAATTATTTCGCTTGGTAAAAAAAAGTTTTTTTTCCTACTGGGGAAAACATTAGAAATGATATTTAATATTTTAATTGATGGATTTTTGAAACGTATCATTAATTAGAGGATTTTTTTGATTTTTAAAAAAACGTTCGCCAATTATTATTATTTATTTTCTTTTTGCAATTCAAAAAAAGTTTAACTTTTCAAATTTTGATATAATTTAATTTATTTTTATTATGAAACATAAAAAATTTGAAAAGACATAATGTTAACAGAAATTTCATTTTATTTTTTTTTTAAAAAAAAAAAATAAAATAAGATTTGTTAAAATGTGAGCTTTCGTCATCAATTTAGAATGATAAAGCGGGATATAAATTTATAGTTAATATTTTATTGACATTCCCATGAAAAACTTCCCAAATAATTGTGCGATTCTATGTTAAAATAAAAATTCTATTCGTGTAATAAATGATACGAAGTTTAAAATAATCTTATACAATAAATTTTAGGCATATCATTTATATATTTCTCTGATGTTGGAAGGTATATGGTATCTTCTCGCTTCCATAAGAACCGCGTCGTTTATAATTAAATAATATATAAGTCACAATTAATAAATCAATGATTCAATACTAACATATTTTAAGTAAAAAAAGTATTTACTGATATTTTATGAATTTTTAAAATATACAAATAATTCAACTTTTATAAAATTTAAAAATTTCCATTTCTTCGATGGTAAACCTATCTGCATCTATAAACTCACTTTCATAATAACGTCGATTACATGAACCAGAATTCTTATTGATAATCAAATCACTATTACCAAAATTTAATTTTATATTTTTATCATTACATGAATATATTGCACAATCACTATTTACAACTCGACTAATTTTAATATTTTTTAAATCGTCCCCATCGCCTAAAGAAAAAATAAAACTTTCGGTAGTATTAGACCAGTAATAATTAGTACTAAAACCTTGATTAGTGGTCATTAAGTATCTCAAACCAAGGGAATTATATCCACCAATTATCGTTCCATCCTCTTTAGTTTTGATGATTATGATAACTGCTCCCTGTTCGTAGCACTTTCTACGTATATTATTGGTTTCATAGCCATCTCTACTTCCACGATAAATAAGGTTGAAGTTAAATTTAATATCTTTTGGAATTCTTGCGTTAGAATCTTTTCTTTGAACCCAGTTAGCCAGGACAAATGCATGTTCTTGTTTAATAATCATAGAATCAAGCGTAATTTTTACACGACGAGGAGTCCACACATGTTTATTAGGCATAATATTTGCCATATGAAATGACAAAATATCTTCTAAGAGTGCGTTAGGTAACACTTTCTTGAATGGCCAAATATATTTATGAAATCTTTAGATGATATATCGAAGGATCGAATGTTTTCAATAAATTGTTTTAAAGATCTTTTTAAAGCCATAAAATCCTTTTCATCCCAACTACTTAAATTAGAAATCTGCTTTCCTTCCAATTCTGAAGTTTGAGCTATCCCCCATTTAATAAGGTAATTCCATAATTCAATTTCATCAATTTGTAAATCTTGTTTGATTAATCCAAGTAGAATATTCTTTTCTAATTTTGGAAAACTAAGTGAATTAAAAAAAGGTTACAAATAATTTCTAAACAATAATTAAGGAGCTGTTCACAGTTTTCAATTTGTTGTAACCATTCAGTTTGATTTTTAATTAAATACTCTTGCACAGAAGTAACCAATTCATCAAGAAGTAATTCATCGGAAGCTACGATAAGATCAAGGATATCGTTTTCAGCTTGCTCGTTCAAGTCAAGTTTACCAGAATATATATATCTTGAAAAAAAAAAATAATAATTCAAAAGTTGGAATTTTAGTAAGCCATCGCTTCACAATGTGATAAAGTACAATGAAATTTTGGCAATCATCAGGAAGTTTAATATACGTAATATTAATAAAAATTATTTTATATTATTTATATAAATATAATACGTAAAAATACGGTTTATACACATATATTACATAACTATTTATATTATAAATAAATTACAAATATATAATAATTATATAATTTTTTCCATATTATTAATATGATATTTTATAGAATATTACTTTTATATAATTTTTATAATTATAAGTAAATTACAAAATTTATGATATTTTTATTACATAATTGTTTATATGAATTTTGATATAATTTTTACGATAATAAATTAATTTTATATTAAATTCCAAATTATTTACACGATTTTTATATAGATCATGATTAATATGAATAAAATATACATTTGAAATTTTGATATAATTGTTATAATAATAAATAAATTACATAATTAGTGATATTTTATTTATGTGATTTTTTATACAGATAATTATTAATGTAAATGCATTTATAAATATTATCATAATTAATATATTTCATAATTTTTG